AAAGATGATGACAAATTGATTAAATGTGTGGCTCAGAACACACTGTTCAGAAACACAAATTATAGTCGGGGATAATATTTGGAAACAAACTGCAGCGGACATAAACAAAACAGGTAAATATTAAAATTCTTTTATGTGTACTAATATTATGTATTCGTGTTAATTACTACAAAACACAAGCCACTTTACTGTTGGTGATCAATTCTTTCATCCTACCATGGTAATCCTAAACTGATTTCTTACAAGAAAACCATACGCATTTGCAAATCCGCCTACACGAACTAATGAAATCAAATTTTGAGTAGGCAAATCGCATCGATATTAGTAGTATAGTATTGTTTATTATTATTATTTTTTTCTAGATATGCATCTCTAACATCTTGTGTAGGGTGCAAGCTATCATATATTACAGCATTTTTCAGGTTTTACAGCTATTGGCGTGGGTATAAAATATTCTTAATACTTGGCTTATTAACACAAATAAATTTTCTGTTATTCTTTTAGCATGGCATACGGGGTAATTAACTATGGCTTTATTCCTATTTTGTTTTGCATCATTCTTGCAAAATGATTTCAACCCGAATGCCTTATCTGTGACTTATAGGTTTGGGAGTAGGATATCACTTCCCGTGAGTTTGTTGTAACTGGATACATTAAAGTTTCCAGAAGTAATGTTTTTCTAATAGTCCTTTTTTTAAATATTCCGCTGTCTTCGTTCTTTCATGACGAGTCCAAGTCTACAGCAAAAAATTTGTAGTTTGCATCCATGAGAAATGTTCTTTATAATTATGATACAAAGATCCAGTATTTGCAGGGCATCTTAAACGAACATGTTCCCGTCAATCACACCAACACAGTGCGAAAAGTTCCATTTATTATATAATTGCAATAATATGCGCTGTAAATCCATCTCAGTTAATACAGGCATGAATAAAGGAGTTACAATCTCATTACTTTTAATGTATTGTTTTCCAATGTGGCATGCATAAATAAGATGAGTAAATGCAAGGGATTCGAACGATTTTCCCGTAGACATAAGTCTAAAAAATATCACACTAGTCAGTTTTGTATTTTTCACTCACTTTTAGCAATAGTATTTTAATATCACTTTGGTTTCAGATGAGAAATGTAAAAAAGGATGGCGAAATATTAGGGATTCCTAATTACTTCCGATACGACCGGAAATACAAATTGTCAACAGGGTCATCTGCAAACACAAAAGAAAGCAAATATGCACTATTTTCTCTCATTTCACAAAAAAGTTGCACGCGAAAGAATAAGTACTGTTAATATAGAAAAACTAGACCCTAAGGGAATAATAGATAAGCTGGATAAAGTGGTTGAACCAATAAATACTGAGCACTCTGGTACCAATAATTTGACAGAAAATGAAAAACATTCTGCAACGACGCAGCCTTTCCCACTCGTATAAAGAGGAAGTCAAATTCACTGCTAGATGACTTGATGACTAGATACTAAAAAAGAGAGAACAACAATGACAATAAAAGTTTAGTACCAAGTTCTTGGGAATCAACCTAAATATAAAATTGAACTGATCATATTTCAGTCTGCAGAACTTTAGAAATCATTCCTCATCACCTAATAGATCTGTTTAGTCTTTTAATGAGACTGTTGAACAAATCTTCCTGTGTACGAGATCTAAACAGTTCCTTAATTAGTTTTTTTTCTTTTATTTACCAATCAGTACTGAATAAGTAGATTGTGATTATCTTGTTCCTTCTTCAGTAAATCAATAATTTTTTTATAATTGATGATTATACTTTTATAGGTATATAACTTCAACCAACGCAACGCCACGTGGAAAGAGGATTTGAAGCAACCGATCGTATTCCATTGATCGTCTCATCGAAAGCATCGAGTTAGAATCTAAGAGTGCGATCATTACGGAGACCATCGCATCGTATCCTTGTCTAGATTATAGCACTGACAGTTAACGCTCTCATTTAAAATAAAATGCATTTATTTTACCTGGCGATCGATACGATGGTCGGAGCGAGGATCGGTGGTCGGGGCCTCGTAGTATCGATCGTAGAGTACTAGGGTCGAGGGTCGAAAAAATACTCTGCTGGAATACTATGGTCCGATATCTGGCTCGAGGCTGTACGCTGAGCTTTGACAGTGAACGCTGACATTTTTAAAATAATGCATTCATTTTACCTGGCGATGATAGTATGATACCATACCTTGGTTCGACCGAGGGTCGGCGCCTCGTTATGAGCGCACACTAACTCGATGGTCGAATAGCTCCCTTTACTAGGTGTTAATAATAATAAAAAAGATATTTTTTATAGGCGCGTATAGCCGTTTATGGTGAGAAGGATATATGTTCAATTCACATTATGAACAGAATTCCCATCAAGCGGTTAATTGGAATTTATTTCTCTTTAATTGTTGTTTAATTAAAAATGTAACTCTCTAAATGTAAGTCAGTATCTTAATTGTTGTTTAATTAAAAATGTAAGAACCTAAAATTATGAAGTTGGCTGATATCCGACAATTAATGCAAGTATGTGAGTCAAGAAATAGTTAATAATAATATAAATAAGTATATAAGAGTTCAAGGGTAGAATATGATCCTCAGTCTTACAGTAACTAAATACAGGGCATTCCTTTTATTTATTTCTAAAATGAAGTTGCACAACAATGTAAATGATTCAAAACTGTCAATAATAGCTATAGAAAATGTTTAATCAAGTTATATTATTTCTTTTAGGCACATTTGAAAAATAAACTAAAATGCAGACTATTTTATTTGAGTTTACATGGTAATTACACAAAATATTCTACTGCATTGAATTTCGAAATTACAGACACCCTGTACAATAATTTGATACGTTAGTTAGTCGAATACATAAAAGCTATAATTAAAAATGAAAAGGCAAAAATATGTTAACAGAATTGTTTTGAAATAAAACAAATAAAGGTAATTATTGAATTTCCTGGAAATTGTATTTGCAGAAAATCGCCATATAAGTAGAAAACTATTAAAAGGTATAGCGAATGTTTAATAGGCTAACATTATTTTTTAGTATATTCCAGTCAAATACATGATCCATTAAAAATATATAAATTTATACCATGGATCTAAGTTGATATTGATCTACTTGTTTCTGCTGAGGTAATTTCTAATATTACGTTGCGTTCTGCACATACGATGACCTTAATATAACAATTGGGGTCACCCTTAAGGGGGAGGGAATGTATTATGTTCAATCTAGAACTCGCTGCCAAAGCCAGTGGACTGTATACAAGTCTATTTAAAAAAGCAGTAAAATTAAAACATAAATATATATAAGCAAATATACAAATACAACTAAAGAAAAATATATTACAACCTAACTATTAGCTACCATGAAACACACCAACAGACACACCAAAAGACAACCATAAACAAATCAAAACAAAAATGTCGATTCTATAAAAAACCACTGACAAAACAAAAAACAAAACCTACCATAGCCGCAAACATACTATACATAAAAGATAAAAGACAAATTAATATTACAAAAAAAAAAACATAAAAATATGGATATATATTATGTCAATGATATAAAAATAAGTAATAATGCGGTGCATACAAATAATTAATACAATTATTAATACAAAGCACACATGAAATAAATCGGTGTTAACAAAATACAAATATAAGAATATAATAAATAGTAAAGAAAACAAAACAAATGCAAAATGTTAAATCGACAATGTTCAATCGCGATCGCGGCACAAATGCGATACGGTTCCAGACAAATATCAAATAAATATTCCAAGTGCGCGTACTTGATATATGCAGCAAATTATATATATGGTGTATTGTTCCTTATCCCATAAAAATATAGCACTAGGGCTATCGCAAATTACGCCTTCAGCGGCAGACTTCAACTACCAAAGTTCGTGATGCACATTAGCGTCTTTCTTGGTCACAGGACCGATGCGAAATCAGGTAATGTTAACACATGTGTCCGGGTTGAAAGAAAGAACTCGACTCTCGTGTATGGAATGCAAACCCTTATCTTAGGTACACACACATGTGGTGATATTTGGCAGATGGCTTCTTGAAAATTTATTTCTTAAAATAGCTGCATTATTTCGTATAGGCAAATCTGGTTTAAATATACTACGAGGAGAATCGAAACTAACAAAAAGGCTGTTCATATTTCATAAATGTTTATGTATAGTTGCTAAACTGCAACACTAATATTACTAATAAACTATTCCGTTATAGATTTGAGAAATTAACTTACTGAAAGTTGATAACAGGCAACTGAAAAATTCTTCTACGGGACTAGCTAAGGAAACAGTATCGTTGTTATTTAGTTAACTTTCTGTAAATGACAAATCCAATTCAGCAGAAAAATGTATGAGGCCTCTAAATACACCAGGGTTTAATAAATCCTTTCTTTATTAAAAATTCCTTATTGTTTCGAATTTAATAAGCAACACAGCAAAATTTAAATGTATATGTGCCGTACACGTTACAATCACAATAAGATCACATTCAATTTGGACATACCAGTCAACCTACACCGCTGGGCTATCACAAAGAAGTTGGAAGTGAGGGGGAGGTAATTGGGCTCATGAGAATTCATTGCAAGCTGATCAATGCACTGGAGATTGTGCCTCATGTCTGGAATCCGTGAAGTTTCACGGCATGTCGAAATAGAATACAAAATAATTAAATATTACCTATTACTTATAAATTGCCCGGATCTGTGATTTCTGATTTTAATTACTGAAATATTATTTTAGTAATTGAATAATAACCGCTACTGATAACCTCTAGTCGTACCTGCTAAGCTTTGAGGTTAGACACTTTGACGAGATAAAGGAAATACGCGGTGTTTGGTGCATGAGTCGCCGGGGGGGAGGCGCGGGCGGTGGGTTCTGTAGCCATATGGGACGTGTCGGTTTATTGAAATGCCGGATTAGTGGGATTCTACTGTGTTTGATTTTAAATCTCTTAAAATATACATTATACTTACATACATCGTACAGAACAACTCTTTTACCACAGGTATCTCTAAAGGGGCTTACATATATAAATCTGAAAAATAACGAAACCATGTTAATATTTAGTCAACAATATTAATGTAAAATCTATTCACAGTAAACGCCAAATGAGATGAGAGGGCAGACGATCGTGTAGATCGACTAGATTCACCGCATTTTTGAAGTTATACTTCCATACGCGCGTTCGACGATGGAAATTTGTACGGGAGTGAATCGGCAAAATCATAACATATGTAAAATATATGTAAGAGAAAGACAGAAGATATATTTTCCCTCTTTTTCTGTCTCGATAATAAAAATGTTTCTTTTGTAATTATATTTAATATTTATTAATATTATCATTATTTTTACATTCTGTTCATATTTGTCTTGAGCCTCGTTAGGCATGTTAAATTATAAATTAACTTGTAAATATCTAAAAAAAAATCCACAAGGAAAATAATTCCTGCAGCTGGCTGTATACCACGTATCCCTAAAAAAGAGGTTAAATCTTTGTAAAATATTTAAATATACCCATTTACAAAGATTTAACCTCTTTTTTGTAAATATCTCTTTTTCTTCTTCTTGTTCCACTCCTATCGGAGATTGGAAATCATCAAGGCTATTCTGACCTTGTTTACAGCTGACCTAAAGAGTTAATTAGTGGTACAGCCAAACCACGCTCTCAAATTACGCAACCATGACATTCTTCTACGGCCAAGATATTCTCGTTCGTCCTGGTCCCCTCTTTCCGTAGAATTTAGACCATATACTTGGTTTTTTTGCTATTGATATTTATGCCATAATTGTTACAGGCAATATTTAAATTTGTAAGTAATCGTTGTAATTCTTCTACTGTTTCTGAAACTACTACAGTGTCGTCTGCTTATCGAATGTTATTTACAACCTCTCCATTGATTACGATTCCTTCGTTTGCTTGCAAAATGATTTCCTGGCAGATGCTTTCACTATTAACATTAAATAGCAGCGTTGACAAAATGCATCCCTGTCGTACTCCTCTACGTATTTCTATTGCTTGTGATATCTCATTTTCTATTTTGATGTTAGCTTTCTGATTCCAATATAGATTAGGATTGAGAACTATACGAAATTATAAGAATTATAAGAAAGAATTATAAAAATATCTCAAGAAAGTTCAAATGTGTACTTATATACACAACAAACAACAACTAAATTTTGTATCTGTCAATGTCAGACAAATTGACATTTGCATCACGAAACAATATTTTTATTTTATTAATATTATTATCATGGTAAATTAAACATATGATTAAGTAAGTTATGTATATTGTCATTTTTAAATACTTATAAATATTGCATTTTAATTTGTATTGTATTATTATATTGAAATATGTTGCAGTGTGTTGTATTGTATTTTAAAATTAATAACAAAATAAATAATGAATTTTACTGCAGAGTATGTGTAAAATTTTGTTTTGCATTCAACTCCTTTCATACATATAATGAAAATAAAAATATACATTTTCATCAAAATATTGATTAAATCATTCATTTACTATACTCGTACTACAGATCAATTGTTTTTTATATTCAGCAAACGATTCACCATATACCTATATATCTAATTATGTTTCTCTTTCTGCTCTCTCTTACCTATAGCATTACATATCTAATGATTGTGCAGATTGACTCCCATATAAATTTGTAACGGCAAACGCGTGTATAGAAGTATAACTTCTATCGGCAGTCCCACTGGACTGCCACACCTGTTTTTTTTTTTGCCAGCGAAACAATGGGAATTTTGCCATTTATTCAGTGGCGTATTAGCGAAGTATTAGTTACTGCAAAGTGTAAGCATTATCTGTTATAAAGACAAACTTGCATTCACTATTATTTCATTGTCACAATTGACTTAACTGCTGCCTATATCCTTTTAAAACATCCGCTACGAAATTTCCCTCATAATAGTTAGTGTTTGCTGCAGTTTATTAAAAAAATTATTATATGCATAAAATACGAAAAATAAAGATATATGTATTGTATAAAGATTATCCTATCTTATTTTGTACTTACCCGTCGCCTATTATTTCTGATACATTAGGATGACAACAGTCTAAATTGTCCATAAAGTATTTGAATCTTTTTCGAAAATTGAGATACTTCAAGAGAGTCTGTTCTGCCATAGGAATGCTGAACTTCTTAACTCGAAGAAATCGAAGTAAAAAAGCATCATCTTAAATAAAAAATATATTTATTAATAAAAAGGAAAATGTTTTTAAATAACAAAATTTATCGAACATTTTTAACGTAATGATTTGAGTATTTAACACATAAAATTGTCTTATATAAACTGGAAAAGTAGCGAAGAAAAGTTTGTGACACTAAAAAATAACTTTGAAAGAAAAGTATTAAATTTATTAAAGGGCTAACATGAAATTCTATGTTCTATTCTATTATTGTAAGGTTTTCTATTTTTTCACGAAGTTAATCCCGATACCTGATTTAGTGTTATTTTTCTTCTGCATTCATTTTCGTGTAACTTACATATATACAGTACAATAATAAGTACCCAGAGCCTGCAGCGGCGGCCGGCCAGGTGAAGTAGGTGAAGGTGAGGTTCACCAAAAAAATATAATTAAATTGAGACAAATAAATAAAAAATAAAAGCAACATTATTATATCTAAATTCTGAAATGAATTATTTATTATCTTTGAATTAATCTAAATATTAAAAAAGACAACTAGCTTTACTAGCGGTAGGTACTTGACGGTCAAGTCCTGAACTGTGTCACTAGCCGTGTAGGATTCAGGAATAGGTGAATATCATTTTTGAAATGCGAAATTTATCTGCATAAGCGTTCACGGTTGCCATGGCAACGTGACGTCAGGCTATTCTTAGTGATAGCTGAGAAAACTGGCGAGTGCAGTTCCGTCTAAAAATATATTCTTCGTCTTCACCCACTAGTTAGATCTGTATTTGGTATTCCTATTTTTCGGAAATTTCCATCAGCGACAATATTTTGAAATTTAGTCTATTATATAGAGATATTTTTTATATAGTATAGTGTATAGTATAGTATTTATTAGCTTAGTTTAGTCACAGTATTAATTTTATTGGTTTAGTGCACTTTATTAGTACATTTCTCTGTGGTTTGTTTCGGATTTCGGATATAAAGTGTTCTCGTGGATTTCGTTTGGACAAAAATAATTTTAGACAGCCATGAATCCAATTAATGACTTGGTGTGTAATATATTAGAGACTCCGTTTAGGCATTGGAAAAATGAAGATAAAAATCATGTTTTTTACATGATCGACCAACCAGTATTTTAAATATCTACGTCTGATCCAGAGTGGTCGGCCGAATCGAACTCACCAACCTGTTTTAGAAGGCGTGGCGTTTTAATCGCCAAAAAACCCTTAATAAACTTTCATTGTTCAGAACTAAAATACCCCAGGAAAGCAGAACAAATCGTTTCTAGTATAAGTGCCCTAAAAACTGTTTTCAAGTTATTAGGGCCCTAAACTCTAATGAGATTTGGGAACGAAGTAGGTACCAAAACTCCCTTTGGCTCCGGCAAGCTTTCCTCATCTTCACCAATTTTTTAGGCAACGAGCCGCCGCTGAGAGTCTGTACGTAGGTCAGTCAGGCGACGTCGTGGACTGACATGTCTTTTGAAGATTCAAGACCTACTTCTATAAAGACGAAAAAAATATACCCAAAAAACTCTTTGAATATAAAATGAAACTTATAAAACAAAGACATTTGATTTCTATTATTATCGCAAACTTAATATTAACAAAGTTATGGCTATAAGCAAAGTTATCGAAAGTAGACTTTTATTCATCGAAAATCCAAACATATGATGTTATATAAATGGAAAACGGTAAGTTTTTCATAAAAGATGTATATAACTTTTTTAAAGATCTTTAAAAAACCTTTAAAATGACCACCGGTAAAAGTGATTTCACCATAAAAACTTAAGTAGGTTATAACTAAAATAAATTCTGCTTATATTTTTGTGACGCAGAAAGTAACAAACTCAATCCCGCCAAAACCACCCTGGTTCAAACTATTCGTTGTTCATTTACGATTTACTTTATTTATATACAAACATTACATTTTGGAAGTTTAACTGGTTTAAAAGGGTTAGTTTAAAAAAAATCCGAGTTTAAAGTGAAGGCACTATTAAATCCGTTTTTTTTTCAAAATAACAACAACTAAAACAAAAATTATACTAACTTCAGAAAAAATAGAATACATAAAAACGGCTTTTAGTGAAGATTTAATTTTTAGAAAAAATTGTTTAAAGGTTGTTTTGAATACGTTTAGCACCATCGTTAAGCCCTATGTTTTTGCTTTGTTTTATATGTTAAATAAATATGATTAGTTAAATAATTGTTTTATTTGTTTCCAGCTAAATATTCATTGTTCAATTCATAGTTTAAGACAAGACGGATTCACACTTGAGAGACTAAGCTAGGCGAAGCATAGACGATAAGCTCCCATGGTCTATTGAGGTATTATTTTTATAATAGTATTTCAATTCACTTTGGTAGTCTTATCGTTTCATACTACGGCAGTTTCTTTTGAACTAATGATGCTATTTAATATGAGACGATCTTTTATGGAACGTATTGATAAATGCATGGAAGAAAATGGTGGACATAACGAACATTTACTTTGAGAAAAATTTTAATGTTATTTAGTTTAACTATTTCTTAATTTGGTTTCTAAATAAAATGTATTTTCTTTTTACTTTAACTTACTATCAAACATAAATTGTTCGATGTCAAATCCATTTTATTAATGATCCTAGTGATGTATGTAAAAAAATATTAGGGTATACTATTTTTAGTTTAGTATGACCAACCAGAAATGATGGTTACGAGTCCGGAATTGGGCAATCTAGATGCTACAAATAAACTTGGAGGCAGCACCAAACTAGAGATTGTATGTATTAATTCACAATCTATTATAAACAAAATAAGTCTTATCGAATTATTGCTTAATACCGAAAGTCCGGATTTGCTGTGTATAACCGAGTCATGGTGTAGTGACAACAATATAAATTCCTTATATCTTCCAAATTATCTCTTAAGTTCGTACTATAATCGAAGTAATCATATACATGGTGGTGTACTTATATTTGTAAAGGTTAATTTTAAATTTAATATTCCAAGTTTTCTCACGAACATCTGTCAAGATTTTAACCTTGAGTGCTGTTGTGTTAGTTTTAGATGTGACTCAAAAAAAATGTTTTTACTCAATGTGTATCGCTCCCCTAATGGGGATATTGATATTTTTATACGTAAATTATATTATATATTTAATATTTTTTACGTTAAATATGATTGTATTATTCCTTGTGGTGATCTTAACATCGATTATCTTAAAGAGTCAAGACAAAAATCTATATTGAAGGATTTCATGATTAGTTTTGAAATTAACGGTAAAAATACTGAACCAACTAGAATATTTACAAATAAAAACGGTGTAATTTCGCGATCGAAGCTAGATTATTTTCTTACCAATATTCCTCAATTATACAATGAGGTTGTCGTGAACTACAATTTAGGTGATCATCTAGGACTTCATTTTAGTTCAAACATATTTGAGAGTAACAATACTGCTGCATCTCAGATAGCTACTTATAGAAACTTATCAACGAATTGTTTGTCTAATCTTTTGTTGAATCTTGATTCTGAGAAATTCGAAAATGTTTATACATATTCAAATGATGTAGATGATGCATATAGAACTTTTTTGAACTCTGTCTCCTATCATATTGATACGACATGTCCTTTAATATCAAAATGCATAACTACTGATACCAACAGAAAATGGATCAATACAGAAATTCTTCAGCTTAGTAAAAAGCTGAAAGATTTATTTTGGCTAGCAAATGTTAGTGGTAATTCAGATTTAATGTATAACTATAAAATACAAAAGGCCAACTTTATTCGTAAGGTAAACAATATAAAAAAGCCTCATATTAAAATTATTTACATAATCATTTAATAATAATAAAAGAAGGAAGGAGATATGGAAAACTGTGAATCGTCAAACTGGTAAAAATAAAAACAATTTTGAGTGGAGCATTACTGATAATAATAAATTATTGATACATCAGAACACATAGCAAACAAATTTGGTGAGTATTTTTGTACATCAGCCAAACACACATTATTAAAACATTTCAATAACTATACCTTTAACGATTTCACAACTATGACAATTAACAACACATTCTTTTTTTCTGAAGTCTCACCATTTGATATTGAGAATGCTATATCTTCCTTAAACTATACCAGCTCAGTAGATATTGATCAAATCCCCACTAAAACAATTAAATACATTTCTTCATATATATCTCCTGTTTTGTATCACATCATCAACCTATCTGTCAAGGATGGCAAGTTACCAAGTGACCTTAAAACGGGAGTAGTCAGTCCAATTTTCAAAAAGGGAGATCCATGTTTGGTTGATAATTACAGGCCAATCACCGTAACAAGTGTACTCTCTAAGAGTACACTTGTTACACTCTCTCTTGCACTCTGTGTACACTCTCTTATCGAAAAGTTTATTTATAGTAAAATGTTAAATTTTCTGAATAAATATGATATCTTAAATAAATGCCAGCATGGGTTTCTTTCTAATAAATCTACAGAGAGTGCTTCTATTTCATTATTTAATTATATCCACTCTGCTTTGGATCGAAAAAGGTATGTGGGTGTACTCTTTTTGACTTAACTAAGGCTTTTGACTCTATTGACATTGAAATTATACTGTATAAATTAGAAGCCCTTGGTTTTCGGAGTTATTTTTTGAACTGGTTAAGGTCAGACTTACAACATCGTAAATTCCTAGTAAAAGTCGATAATAACAAGTCATCTGTTTTTAATGATCAAGGTGTACCGCAAGGCTCCGTATTGGAACCCTTAATATTTCTTTTATATGTCAATGATTTGACACATTTTTTAACTGCAGACCATACAGTTATTTACGCAGATGATTCAAGAATTGTAGTTGACGAGTCAAATGAAGTCGAACTCATATCAAAAATGAACTTAGTAGCACAGGAATTTACAACCTGGTGTAAAAGGAACTCTTTAATGGTAAATGCAAAGAAAACTATTTGTATGCAGTTTTACTCGCGCTTTAAGCCATCCCATGGTTATAAAATCACAGTTAGTTCTGAGGAAATACCTCTTAGTGATACAACATTATTTCT